GGCTCTACTTGGAGGTTCAGGGTACCCTAAACCCTTAAACCCTAAACCCCAAAACCCAAACCCTAAACCCTAAACCCTGAAGAGAATGGCTCTACTTGGAGGTTCAGGGTACTTAGTAACCCATTATATGTGTAGTTATAACCCACCCATAAGCCCCTTAAGTACCCTAACAGGGTTATCATTGTGCCAGGGAGAAGAGCTCCGGTGCACCCACGCAGCAACTCTCCATCCTGCCCAGGCACCGTCAAGGTGCCAGTTTGGTAGCGTGTACGCCAGAGGCCTGTCACGGACAGACTGAGCTAAGACCTCAAGGTTTTACGACGGACCATGCCCAACAGATCTTAAAACCCTAAACCCTAAACCCACTGTCTCAAACTTCGAGTTGTCGTCAGGCTGATGGCGCCCCCGAGCCTTCCGGTCCCTACCTTGAAATCTGGGGTCAGCGCATTCATCACCTGGGCCATGGGGGGGGGGGGGGGGGGGGGGCGCGGTCTAGGGTTCAGGGTTTGGGGTCACTAGCAACCCTGAAGCTTAGACTTCAGGGTCACTAGCAGGGTTTCGGGTTTGGGGTTTGGAGCTTAGCGGCCCGAAAGACGAAACTACAAGGAGCACACCGAACCCCCTTGAAGGGTTGCGAGCTCGAAAGACGTGGTTGGTGGCGATGAGGGGGTTTCGAGGTTTGGGGTTCAGGGGTCGGGTTTAGGGAAGCTTGCTTGGAGGAGGCTCATGGGTAGCTTGCAGGGTTCTAAGTACTTCTAAGTACCAATAGCTACAACCATCCTTGCAGTCCCTCTTATAACTGGGTGGTCCATATCGCCGCCACAACATGCTTCGAAGGCGCGATCGACGGCGTTGCCAAAAGCAGGACACCCCGAAACCCATCGAGTGACCTAAGGACCCTACACGTCAGACCACCCCAAAGTTACCCACCCGCGAATGATCCACGTAAATTGAGCTACCCTAACCACCCATTCTATTCAAAACAGGGCCCCACGCGCCCCCCAATTTACTTGCTCCTTGCGGCAAGGCCACATGGATTCTGAAACGCTTCCCGACGTTTGCGTCCTGGACGCGGACGTGAACCGTGCCCGTCTTGGGCGGAGTGCCCGCGAAGGACCTGGAAAGGTGGCGAGGGTGGCTTAGCGCTAGCCTCTTTACTACTACTTGCTTAAGAACCCCTAAATCCTAAACCCTAAACCCTAAATCCCAAAAAACACAAACAAATGATCCCTATCTTGGCTCGTATGAGGAAAAATGTTCTCTATGTTTTGGGGATTCTTAAGCAGCTTGAAGTTTCAGGTTTTGGGCTTTGGGGTTTGAAGTGGCTGGCCCTGTGACTCCCTACAGATCAAGCTTACTAGGCGATTGCTACTAGATTACCCACTAGACCCTAAACCCTCAACCCCAAACCCTAAATCCGAAACCCGAAACCCTCAACCTTAAAACTCTAAACCTAGCTAAACCCTAGTCGGCTGAAGGCCCAGAGGGTCGGGGTTGAGTGCTTGGGGCAGACAGTCTTGTCCGTAAAGCCTAAAATCTGGAACCCCCTAAACCCCTGACACCCAAACTCTGGGCACCAAACTCCCAAACCCTAAACCCTAAACCCTAAACCCTAAACCCTAAACCCTAAACCGGGCCTGGTGCCAGGGTTGAAGGTCAGCCACGGCGGCAGCGGCCCGCCGCTGCCTCCCGAAGCGCTGACAGCGCCTTCTCCTGCAGCCTGGAGACAGTCTTAGGGCTCAATATGTAACTACATCTTCATATCGAGAAAAATATGTATCCTGTTGTATATCATAGAACATTTTGTGCTATGAGATAATGTATGTATATGTTCATATATGTGTATATGTACTTTCACACTTATCTTTTTACATGTAGTTTTTGATTTCTATGTATATCTATGTTTATACGTACAATACCTATTTTGTGTGTTGTTTTTACCACATATGCGGGTTTCCGAAATTAGCTACCTTATTGGGGTCCTTACTACAAGGGCTACTGTTTGGGGGGGCCTAAATTAGGGATCAGTAAGCAAGTTATATGTATTTTCATACAAGGCTCAATATATAGCTACATATTCCATCTATAAGAATTGCTGTGTATATTATCTGTTGTATATTCATACACACACATACATATATATGTTTATTTATCTGTCTATTTGTATTTTCATGCATTGTTTTTTATATTCGATTTGTGTATACTATCTACCACCTACAAAAAGATATATATACAATAGGGGTTTAGCGGTTTGGTGCCTTCGGGTTGAAGACTTTGCGGATGGCACAGCTTGGGGGTGCCATTTTGAGGAGGGGGGGATCCCCGAAATTCTCAGCTCTTTGTGAGGGGGGCACCAATTTAGGGTTTAGGGTTTTAGGGTTTAGGGTTTAGGGTTTAGGGTTTAGGGTGTAGGGTTTAGGGTTTAGGGTTTGGGGTATATAACGTTCCGTATCATACTAGGATCCTTCCATAAGGGACCATCATTTCGAGAACCTCCCATATACATGTTTAGGATTTAGGGATTAGGGCTCGTTTAAACGCCTGCTTATGTCTGCTTCTTCTTGCCGAGGCTTGGTCTAAGCTGCTCGGCACGCCTAAAACTTAAGCCTTTGAGCAACAACTTCACCATGACGACCACCGGCTGCGCCTAAGCCACGCTGAGCGTCTAGGGGTGAGGGTTTACCTGAAACCTGAAAGTGCGAATGAAGCTCGAAGCCTTTAAACCCCTAGACCCTAAAAGCCGAGCGTGAAGCCCTAGACCCGAGACAGCGCTCAGGTTTCCCGTTTCCTCCCCCTTCCCCCCGAAGAAAGTACTAACAGAATAATCATAACAATAATCATCATAGTAATAATAGTCATAATAATGAAAGCAGAGACTCCTTGGGAAGCTGGTACTGCAGAAGCTTGCCCTTCTGCGCCACCACGTCGGGAAGCAGAGTATCCTGGACCTTGATCCTGGGATTTAGGGGTTTAGGGGTTTAGGGCCTAGGGCTTGGGGTTTAGGGTTTAGGGTTTAGGGTTTAGGGTTTAGGGTTTAGGGTTTAGGGAAGGGGCTTTAGAGCGCGGAGGGCTTGGGCGCTTGCGTGTGCATTTCTTGGGGGTGGAGGGATGGGCGAGTTGGTTGCAACCTTAGTTGGTATTAAAGTTAAAAAGTGTACGTATATCCATCGTTGGGGTACATTTGCCTTTTGAAAGTTACTTAAGAGTTCGAGGTGTCGGTTGAGGAGCTCCCCGTTGAGGGTTGGCTGAAGGTTTGAGGTTGAGGGCTTTTGGAGCTCGGTCATCAACCTTACAGGGGTTGATGCGCCTGGGGTTCCCTTATGACCCCCAACTCCTACACACCCCAGAACCCTAAACCCTGACTAAACACATAAGCCATCATAAGCCCCAAATCGCATCTCGAACACTACTAGAGCCGAAAAAAAGCACCTTCCCGCCGAGTGAAACTACTAGAGATGCTAAGGGTTTAGCATTCGGCTTCAGGGGGGTTGGGGTTTGGGGTTTAGGGTTCAAGCGCATGCATGGCATGACCCTACACGCCCTGAAGCCGACAGTCTGAACCTGAACCCTGAGTCTGCCTTATGCCCTAAACCCTAAACCCTAAACCCTAAACCCTACATCCCGGTTCAAGGGGATGCCCCCCCAATCAGGTCCCAGGAGCCTGAACTCCCGCACATTGCCAGCGCCCTTGATCAGGACGTTCCAGGTGCCTTCCCCGGGCGGCGTGCCGGAGAACCTGCTTCACTGCTTTGGGGATGGCCAGGAAAAAGAGGTTTAGGGTTTAGGGTTTAGGGTTTAGGGTTTAGGGTTTAGGGTTTAGGGTTTAGGGTTTAGAGTTTAGGAGAGGCAAGGAGCATGGGCATCTCAAAGCACTTCTATGTAAGGCCTGCTCCAGGAGGGTTGGACACCTAACCCCGAAACCCCAAACCCCTAAACCCTAAACCCTAAACCCGAAACCCTAAACCCTAAACCCCAAACCCTAAACTAAACCCTAAACCCCAAACCCCTCAACCCTAAACCCTTGAACCCCAAACCCTAAACCCTACACCCAGGTGGAGGACCTCCCCGTGTGCGGATCGAAGTGCAGCCACCAGGGCAGCGGCCCACCGTCGGGCATCGAAACTTTCACGTGGCCTCGGCTCGTTATCTTCGGCTGCTCGGAAGCTGCATAGCTCCAGGGGATGTGCCAGGGAACCCTAAACCCTTAAATCCTAAACCCTAAACCCCAAACCCTAATTTCCCCTTAAGTACCCTAACAGGGTTATAATTGTGCCAGGGAGAAGGTCCAAGCTGCAGCTCGGGTGTGCGCACGCGCGCATGTGCTGAGATGTAAGTCCTCGGCCTCTACAGAAATCCTCTACGTGCCACTGATCCCAGCACATCTCCATCCTGCCCAGGCGCCGTCAAAGTGCCAGTCTGGCAGCTTGTACGCCAGAGGCCTGTCACAGACAACAAAGCACACATCTGAATGAGCTTCAAGGTTTTACAACGGGCCATGCCCAACAGATCTCAAAAGGGCAAGGGAAGGGGAAGGAAGGGAAACACTCAGCGTTTGGCAGTTTCAGAAGTGGGCCGACTGCAGTCGCCTACGTCCAGGTCTCTCGTTAAAGTCTTACAACACCCTAAACCCTAAACCCTAAACCCGAAACCCTAAGCCCGAAACCCGAAACCCGAAGCCGTAAACCCTAACCCTAAACCCTAACCTTCGAGTTGTCGTCAGGCTGATGGCGCTCGGGCCTTCCGGTCTCCACCTTGAAATCTGGGAAGCCTTCCTCCTGGGCTGGGCTGGAGATTCCAAACTTTATCAGGGGCCTGGTAATGGTTTGGGTACAGAAGGGGTTGCGGCCTACTGTCCTGGGTCTTGATCTTGAACTCCTTTTCGATACCTCCATAGTTGAACTTGATGGGGAACTCAGCGCCCGCCGGCGGGGTTCCAGAAAACTCCCATGTGCCAGGATCGAAATGGAGCCAAGGTGGCAGCGCCTCGCCATGCGGTCCGCTCACCGAGGGGAGCGTGCCGCCAGGCACGCGGAATCCGCCGAATGCTCCTGGGCCGGCTCCACCGCCGCCGCCTCTGCCACCATGCATTCCGCCGAATCCACCTCCGCCGCTTCTGCCACGACCTCTGCCACCTCCACCGACCCCACCACCTCCGCCGCCACTCTTTGCTGAACTGCCGACTCTTCCACCGCCGCCAACTCCGCCAACACCGACTCCACCGCCACCGCCGACTCCACCTCCGCCACCAAATCCGCCGCCACCAACTCCCCCACCACCGACTCCTCCACCGCCAAGTCCGCCACCACCGACTCCACCGCCACCAACGCCACCGCCACCAACGCCGCCACCACCAAATCCCCCACCACCGACTCCGCCACCACCGACTCCACCACCGATGCCACCGACTCCACCGCCGATGCCACCGCCACCGACTCCGCCACCGACTCCACCGCCGATGCCACCGCCGCCGACTCCACCGCCACCGACTCCACCACCACCAATGCCCCCACCACCGACTCCGCCACCACCAATGCCCCGACCACCGTTGCCGCCGACTCCTCCACCACCGATTCCACCACCGCCAAGTCCACCACCGCCGACTCCACCACCGCCGACTCCTCCACCGCCGATTCCACCACCGCCAAGTCCACCACCGCCGACTCCACCACCGCCGACTCCACCACCGCCGACTCCTCCACCGCCGACTCCACCACCGCCAAGTCCGCCACCGCCGACTCCACCACCTCCTCCACCGCCGACTCCACCACCACCGATGCCGCCACCACCGACTCCATCACCACCTACTCCACCACCGCCGACTCCTCCACCACCGACACCACCACCGCCGACTCCACCACCGCCAAGTCCGCCACCGCCGACTCCGCCACCGCCGACTCCACCACCGCCGACTCCGCCACCGACTCCACGACCACGACCGATTCCACGGCCGCGGGCTCCGAATCCGCCGGGCCCGCCGCGAGCTGTCGGGACAGCTCCTGGAGTGCCAGGGGCCCCTGGACCCGTCACTTCAGGCTGGGAAAGCGTGGGCAAGGTAAAGTGCAATGGCGCGTCAGGCTTGGCCACCAAGTCGGAGATGACCCCGTCCCGGATATGCAGCCTGAAATCCTTCTGCATGCCACCATCCTGGACAGCGATGTGGAAGACCCCCTCCTCGCAAGGAAAATGCTGTTCTGTATGCTCATGTCAGTACTGGCAATAGATGTTTAGATATTCTCAAATGACAAGGGGACCAAGCCCAATGAGCACCCACTCCCCTTCTTCCCTTTGCTCGTCCGTCCTTGGGAGGAGTGCCGCTAAACTGCCCGGTTTTGCCATCAAACCTGAGCGAGGCGCTGCTCCAAGGAAGCTTCAAATGCCTCGAACACCAGACCGAAGAAACAAGAAAACTGAACGTCGTAGTCTGCTGAAGTACTCCGCTACAGGAATTCTTGAGGAAGCCACATGTACAACTCGCACCTCTCCAAAAAAAGAAAGCCACCTGAACCCTACAGACAGGCAAGGCACGTGAGCCACTTCGGCAGCGGCCCTCCACCAGCCATCGTGGCTTTTGGGGATCCGGAACCACCCGTGGGCAGCGAATACCTCGCTTGATCCGTTTTTTGTGCGTGAATTGTTTTGGGGACTCGGGAACAGCCTACACCTCACCAGAAGCCCGATTCTTGCAAACCAGCACCTGAGCCTTCGAACCTCAACGCTAAACCCTGACTACTAAACACCCGCACCTCGTACTGTGTGGATTTACCTCCTGCCCTTGAACCTACCTTGAAGCCCAAACCTCAACCCTACATAAGCTGACAACATCAAGCTTGCACTCTTCAACCGTAGACTTTTAGACCTTGCTTGGAGGTTCAAAACGTCCAGGCCTTTGCCCCACCCCACAAAGAGCCTTCGTAAAGCCCTCCAAACCCTGTATAAGCTTCAAGCAGTCAACCTAAGGCCCTGCTCACAAAGCTACAGTAAACAAAAACCTGCAGATAGTTCGTGCCACAGGTGCTGCAGCGGCTCGCCTGTCTGCGAGGTCATGTCAGGAAGGTGGGCCTTGTCTGCCTGCCGAAAGCTGCGGCATCTTCCCAAGCACCAGCTCGCAGCTAGCACATGAGTCCCAAGACCGTTTCGGAGGTGCTTTGGGGGGCTGTGACAACATCTCTCATGCGGCATAGGGGCCAAAAACATCCCTAAGAAACGAGAGCGCTGCGGCTCCTGCGGTGCTCTCAGCTTTCCTTTCGCCGCCGCGCCGGGAAGGGGGGCACCGCGGACGTTGATCCTGGGCCCGGCAAAGCTTCGGGCTTTTTTGCGGTCTGAGCGGTCGGCCGGTCGGCCCTAAAAAAAAAAAGACAGCGGGGATGTTGCCAATCACGTCCCAGGAGCTTGAACTGCTGTACATCGCCAGCACCCTTCACGACGATCGGCACCGTGCCTTCCACAGGCGGCGTGCCGGAGAACCTGCTTTGGAACGCGCAAAGGAGGCAAGGAGCTATGGCTTCAGCAGGGTGCAGAACTTTTGCAGGAGCCTTCCCGTGTTCGGATCGAAGTGCAGCCACAAGGGCAGCGGTCCGCCGTCGGGTGTCGAAACTGTCACACTGCCTCGGCTTGGGCGTGTGCAGATCCTAAGCCCCCAACCTCTGCAAACTCTACACATGACATGCACAAATCTCATATCCTGCAGTTCAGGCACCCTCAGCTTGCCCGTCCGGCAGGTCGTAGACCAGAGGCCTGCATCACACACGAGAACGAAGATCGCCAAGGGCTTTGGGAGCTAGAGAATGCGAACACATCTTTGCTGGGGGGGAGGTTGAGGGTGGTGCTTCCGGCTTCGCGATTTGGGGCTCAGGTCGCTTGCAGTTACTGATGGCGCCCGGGCCTTCCCATCTCTGCCATCACGTCTGGCAGGCCTTCCCCCTGGGCCGAGTTGGAATATTTACCAGGGGAAGGAAACGAACAACATTAAAAAAAGGGCGTGCATGGTGTGCGTATGCTGATTGCTGCCGTCCTGGGTCTTGATCGTGAACTCCTTCTCGACACCACCATCGTTGATTTTTATGGGAAACTCGCCGCCCGCCGGAGGGTTTCCGGAAATCTCCCGTGTGACAGGATCGAAATGGAGCCAAGGTGGCAGCGCCTCGCCATGCGGTCCGCTCACTGCGGGGATCGTGGGAGGCACAACGCCGACTCCGCGGACTGCTCCAGGGCCGACTCCACCACCACCTATTCCACCACCACCACCTGCTCCACCACCAACACCGCCACCACCAACTCCACCACCGCCGACTCCACCACCACCGATGCCGCCACCACCGACTCCACCGCCGCCGACTCCGCCGCCACCTACTCCACCACCACCGACTCCACCGCCACCAACACCGCCGACTCCACCACCACCTACTCCACCACCACCGACTCCACCACCACCGACTCCACCGCCACCTACTCCGTTACCACCCACTCCGCCACCACCGATTCCGCCACCGCCAACTCCACCACCGCCGACTCCTCCACCACCTACTCCACCGCCGCCGACTCCACCACCACCGACTCCACCGCCGCTGACTCCACCACCACCGACTCCACCACCACCGACTCCACCGCCACCAACTCCGCCGCCACCGACTCCCCCATCACCGACTCCGCCACCACCGACTCCACCGCCAATGCCACCACCGCCGACTCCACCTCCACCAATGCCCCCACCACCGACTCCGCCACCGCCGATGCCACCGCCGCCAAGTCCGCCCCCACCGACTCCCCCACCACCGACTCCGCCACCACCCACTCCACCGCCGATGCCACCGACTCCACCGCCGATGCCACCGCCACCGACCCCGCCACCGCCAATGCCCCCACCACCGTTACCGCCGACTCCACCGCCACCGACTCCGCCACCACCAATGCCCCCACCACCGTTACCGCCGACTCCTCCACCGCCAAGTCCACCACCGCCGACTCCGCCACCGCCCACTCCACCACCGCCGACTCCTCCACCACCGACACCACCACCGCCGACTCCACCACCGCCAACTCCACCACCGCTGACTCCGCCACCGCCAACTCCACCACCGCCGACACCGCCACCACCGACTCCGCCACCGACTCCACGACCACGACCGATTCCACGGCCGCGGGCTCCGAATCCGCCGGGCCCGCCGCGAGCTGTCGGGACAGCTCCTGGAGTGCCAGGGGCCCCTGGACCCGTCACTTCAGGCTGGGAAAGCGTGGGCAAGGTAAAGTGCAATGGCGCGTCAGGCTTGGCCACCAAGTCGGAGATGACCCCGTCCCGGATATGCAGCCTGAAATCCTTCTGCATGCCACCATCCTGGACAGCGATGTGGAAGACCCCCTCCTCGCAAGGCAAATGCTGTTCTGTATGCTCGTGTCGGTACTGGTATAGATATTTAAATATTCTCAAATGACAAGGGGAGCAGGCCCAATGAGCACCCACTCCCCTTCTTCCCTTTGCTCGTCCGTCCTTGGGAGGAGTGCCGCTAAACTGCCCGGTTTTGCCATCAAACCTGAGCGCGAGGCGCTGCTCCAAGGAAGCTTCAAATGCCTCGAACACCCGACTTTAAAAATAGAAATAAACGCAGAACGTCGTAGTCTGCTTATTTACCCCCACTACAGGTTCTTGAGAAAGCCAAAACTCACACAAGCCACCTGAAGCCTACAGACAGGCAAGGCACGTGAGCCACTTCGGCAGCGGCCCTCCACCAGCCATCGTGGCTTTTGGGGAGCCGGAACCGCCCGTGGGCAGCGAATACCTCGCTTGATCCGTTTCTTTTTGCGTGCATTGCTTGGGGACTCGGGAAGAAGAGCCTACACCCCACCAGAAGCCCGATTCTTGCAAACCAGCACCCGAGCCTTTAAAGCTCAACCCTAAACCCTGACTACTAAACACCCGCACCTCACTTGCACCTCGTACTATGGTGGATGTACCTCCTGCCATTGAACCTACAAACCGGACCTACCTTATCTAACGTGAAGCCCAAACCCTCTACCCTAGATAAGCTGACAACATCAAGCTTGCGCACTTCAACCGTAGACTCTTAGACCCTGCGCCTTTGCCGACCCCCCACGAAGGGCCTTCGTCAAGCCCTACGGCCCTTGCTCTCAAAGCTTGCGGCTAGTTCGTGCCACAGGTGCTGCAGCGGCTCGCCTGTCTGCGAGGTCATGTCAGGAAGGTGGGCCTTGTCTGCCTGCCGAAAGCTGCGGCATCTTCCCAAGCACCAGCTCGCAGCTAGCACGCGAATCCCAAGACCGTTTCGGAGGTGCTTTAGGGTAGGAATACAAAGGGTGCCCTTTTTGGTTTAAAGGGGCTTATAAGGGAACCAAACCGTAAAAAAGAGAGAATAAACGGCCTTCTCTGGGTCCTAGCATGTCCTAGCCCTTTGCCCAAGAAGACGAAAGCGCTGCAGATTGCGGGTCCTGCGGTGCTCTCAGCTTTCCTTTCGCCGCCGCGCCGGGAAGGGGGGCACCGCGGACGTTGATCCTGGGCCCGGCAAAGCTTCGGGGTTTTTTGCGGTCTGAGCGGTCGGCCGGTCGGCCCTAAAAAAAAGACAACGGGGATGTTGCCAATCACGTCCCAGGAGCTTGAACTGCTGTACATCGCCAGCACCCTTCACGACGATCGGCACCGTGCCTTCAACAGGCGGCGTGCCGGAGAACCTGCTTTGGCAAGAACGCGCAAAGCAGGCAAGGAGCTATGGCTTCAGCAGGGTCCAGAACTTTTGCAGGAGCCTTCCCGTGTTCGGATCGAAGTGCAGCCACAAGGGCAGCGGTCCGCCGTCGGGTGTCGAAACTGTCACACTGCCTCGGCTTGGGTATGCGCAGATCCTAAGGCCCCCAACCTCTGCAAACTCTACACATGACATGCACAAATCTCAAAACCCTGTAGTTCAGGCACCCTCAGCTTGCCCGTCCGGCAGGTCGTAGACCAGAGGCCTGCATCACACACGAGGACGAAGATCGCCAAGGGCTTTGGGAGCTGGAGAATGCGAACACATCTTTGCTGGGGGGAGGTTTAGGGTGGTGCTGCTTCGGGCTCGCAAAAATGTATCCTTGCAGTTACTGATGGCGCCCGGGCCTTCCAGTCTCTGCCATCACATCTGGCAGGCCTTCCCCCTGGGCCGAGTTGGAATATTTAACAGGGAAGGAAACGAATAACATAAAAAAAGGGCGTGCATGGTGTGCGTATGCTGATTGCTGCCGTCCTGGGTCTTGATCGTGAACTCCTTCTCGACACCACCATCGTTGATTTTTATGGGAAACTCGCCGCCCGCCGGAGGGTTTCCGGAAATCTCCCGTGTGACAGGATCGAAATGGAGCCAAGGTGGCAGCGCCTCGCCATGCGGTCCGCTCACTGCGGGGATCGTGGGAGGCACAACGCCGACTCCGCGGACTGCTCCAGGGCCGACCCCACCACCACCTATTCCACCACCACCACCTGCTCCACCACCGACGCCGCCACCACCGACTCCACCGCCGCCGGCTCCGCCACCACCTACTCCACCACCGCCGACTCCACCGCCGCCGACTCCGCCACCACCTACTCCACCACCACCGACTCCACCACCACCGACTCCACCGCCACCGACTCCACTGCCGCCGACTCCGCCGCCGACCCCGCCACCGCCGACTCCGCCGCCACCTACTCCACCGCCGCCGACTCCACCACCACCGATGCCGCCACCACCGACTCCACCACCACCTACTCCGCCACCACCGACTCCACCACCACCGATGCCGCCACCACCGACTCCATCACCACCTACTCCGCCACCACCAATGCCTCCACCACCGTTGCCGCCGAGTCCACCACCACCTACTCCACCCCCGCCGACTCCGCCACCACCGACTCCGCCGCCACCACCACCACCGACTCCGCCACCACCTACACCACCGCCGCCGACTCCGCCGCCACCTACTCCACCGCCACCGACTCCACCACCGCCGACTCCGCCGACTCCACCGCCGACTCCGCCGACTCCGCCACCACCGCCAACTCCGCTGCCACCGACCCCGCCACCACCGACTCCACCGCCACCAATGCCCCCACCACCGACTCCGCCACCACCGACTCCACCGCCGATGCCACCGACTCCACCGCCACCGACTCCACCGCCACCGACACCGCCGCCACCGACGCCTCCGCCGCCGACTCCGCTGCCACCGACTCCACCACTGCCGATTCGGCCACCACGCAATGCGCCAACTCCGCCACCACCAGCTCCACCGTGAGCTGGTGCTCCCGGAGCCGTCACGTCTGGGACTGTTGGCAGGGAAAAGTGCAAAGGTGCGTCAGGCGTCGCCACCAAGTCGGAAATGACCCCGTCGCGGATGTGCAGCCTGAAGTCCTTCTGCATGCCACCATCCTGGACATTGACATGGAAGTCCCCCTCCTAGCAAGGCGAGTGGCGCTTGTGCTCATGTCAGTACTGGCAATTGTCCATCGTAGCGTGGGAAGTATGAGAGACCGCCGTCATACCAAAAACCCTAAACCCTAAACCCTAAACCCTAAACCCTAAACCCTAAACCGCCGTCACACTGAAAACCCTTCCAGCTCCCGGGCGCCGCAGCAAACCCAAAACGACCCTTAAGACCTGTGCGCTACCAGACCCAGGGTTGCCGGGGGTGCCTGAGAGGGTTTAGGGTTTAGGGATTAGGGTTTAGGGTTTAGGGTTTAGGGTTTAGGGTTTAGGGTTTAGGGTTATGTACGTGGTGCAACACTTCAGCTCGCCTTTGCCGGATCAGTGTGGCCATACTTAGCACTTCATACAGTGGACCAACTCTACTCACCAAACTCCTCACAACCTTGAACTCTAAACCCTAAACCCTAAACCCTAAACCCTAAACCCTAAACCCTAAACCCTAAACCCTAAACCCTACACCCAACCCTATTTTCCCCTGCAAGTCCTTGGGAGGAGTGCCCGTAAACTCACCGGTGCCAGCATCAAACCTGGGTGGGCGCTGAAAGCCGGACTTGACCGGCCTTGACACGGTTCTTAAACGAGCCCTTCCCTGATGATCGATAACCTTGAAAACTAAACCCGAAACCCTTAACCCTAAACCCGAAACCCTAAACCCTAAACCCTAAACCCTAAACCGCGCTGCAGGATCCCTTGAAGCGCACGACTCTTGGGCGCTCGCACCCTAAAACCCGGCAAGGCCAAGGCGCGTGAGCCACTTTGGCAGCGGCCCTCCGCCAGCCAGCGTGGCAGTCTGGGATCCAGAGCCCGAAGTGGGCAGGGAATACCTTGAATTTTAGGGTTTAGGGTTTGGGGTTTGGGGTTTAGGGTTTAGGGTTTTAGGGTTTGGGGTTTAGTGCTTTTTGTGGTGGGAGTGTGTTGAATGCCGTGTTGTTCATGGTCGGTTGATCGATTGGTTGATTGCTTGACTACGTGGCTGATTGTGCGCTTGCTTGCACGGTTGTTTCTTTGCTTGCTTGCTTGCTTGTTTGGATGTTTAGTTGGTCGGTCGGCCAACTGTTGGGTTGTTTGTTGAACCCTAAACCCTAAACCCTAAACCCCAAACCCCAAACCTCAAACCCTAAGCCCTTGCTAAGCCACGAAGCCACGAAGCCAAGAACTCAGGGGAAGCTGCCAAAGCCGCAAGCGAAGAAGAGCCAAGAAGCCGAGAAGCCAAGAAACCAGACTCTAGCCCCCCTCCCCCACCCACGACCTCCCAACCCCCCGCCCCTCAAAAAAAAACAAAACATCAGACATCAAAAATGCAAGCATACATTTATTTATTTATCTATTTTTTGTATGTATGTCTGTATGTATGTATATACATATTTTCAAAAATAAATACATAAATATGTATGTATATATATATATAAGTAGATACATGTATTATGCACATCTTCGTAGACAGACAAGTGTGTATACACAGACTTCAAACTGGTAAACAGGACCCCGTGAGAGCGTGCTTTCCCTCAAGAGGCTCCTTCGAGCATCTCAGCTTCAGCATGTCTAAGCCAGAGGTGACTCCAGGGTTTAGGGTTTAGGGTTTAGGGTTGAGGGTTCAGGGTTTAGGGTTTAGGGTTTAGGGTTTAGGGTTTAGGGTTTAGGGTTTAGGGTTTAGGGTTCCATCGCAGGCCCCTTTACTCTAGGCAAGAAACCCCAAGCCCTAGACCCGTGGGGGTGGTGTGCTTATGGTCTTGCTGAAAGCTACTCTCCATCATTCGCGCACCTTACTTGAAACAAGATTGTATCTTTCTTGACCTCTACATGAAGCGAAACCACTCCGTACTGAATACTGCTCGTTTTGTGCCGACCGATGCGCAATCAAGGAGTCAACAAGTACGACACGGCTGTCCCCTTCAGGAACACACTGCAATGACCAAAAGCATGCTCCAATTTCGTCCTACCCTATAAGCCTGAAGTTCTAAACCCTAAACCCTAAACCCTAAACCCTCAAACCCTCAAACCCTGAACCCAAACCCTAAACCCTAAACCCTAAACCCTAAACACAATTCTGGCCACAGATACCGCAGCGGTTGCCCTGTTTGCGATGTCATGTCAGGAAGGCGGGCCTGGTCTGCCTGCGTGCGGGGTTTAGGGTTTAGGGGATAGGTTTAGGGGATAGGGTTTAGGGTTTAGGGTTTAGGGTTTAGGGTTTAGGGTTTAGGGTTTAGGGTTTAGGGTTTAGGGTTTAGGGTTTAGGGTTTAGGGTTTATAGAAATTGTATAGGGTTTGTGTCCGGAGTTTTGGGCGGGTTTTGGGCGAAAGTTTTGGGCGAAAGTTTTGGGCGAGTTTTCTTTTTTGCTTTCGTAGAAATTGTATAGTCCTGTCCGGAGTTTGGGGCGGGTTTTGGGCGGGTTTTGTATAGAAATTGTATAGGGGTTCAGGTCCGGAGTTTTGAGCGAAAGTTTTTTGTTTTGCTTGCCCTGTAAGTTGAAATTGTGAGGCCTCTTAAGGCCTTTGAAGCCTTGCTTAAGTTGAAATTTTGGGCCTCTGAAGGCTTTTGAAGCCTTGGTCAAGTAAGTCACTTTTTTGCAGCCAAGGGCGTTTTGGATCACTTTACTTAGATGGTTTTTGGAATTTTGTTCGGGGAAGGGGTTGTAAGTTCAGAGTCATATCACATACAATTTCTATTTATCCGGGTCTTGAGGGTTTAGGGTTTAGGGTTTAGGGTTCAGGGTTCAGGGTTTAGGGTTTAGGGTTTAGGGTTTAGGGTTTAGGGTTTAGGGTTTAGGGTTTAGGGTTCTGGGTTGGTTAGGGGGTTGGGTTTGGGGTTTCGGGGGATGAAGGCTTAGGATGAGCGGTTTTGGCTTCTGGGTTCTAGGTCCCTGAATATTCTCCTACCCCTTCGGCGAACTAGGCTGCCCAGTAACCTAGGCTGAAAAAGGGTGCCCTTTTTTGCTTAAAGGGGTTTATAAGGGAACCTAAACCCCCCAAAAAGGGAATAAGGGTACTACTGGGCATCCTAGCCAATAAAAAACCCTCCCACTCCCCTCCTCTGAGTCATCTTCAACGACGTGGATCTTAAGCAACTGGCTCTGACCCTCCTCCACCGCATTCACCTGCGAGGGCGGGCAGCCGAGAGTTGAGGTTTGAAGGTCTCGGGCTTCGGGCTTGGGGTTTGGGGGTTGCAGGTTTCTTGAGAGTGGAAGTAGGGGTGTTCGGGTTGAGTTGGAGGTTTGGGGATTTCTTTAAAGGCTTTTGAGGGTTGAGGTTGAGGGTTGTGGGCTTGGGGCCCCCTTGAGGCAACAACCCTAAACCCTAAAACCCTTAAGCCCCAAATTTTTAAACCCTAAACCCTTATAAACCCTTAACCCCTAAACCCTAAGCAATTTGGGAAAGCCATGGCCTGCACCTGACTGTCTCGTACTTCGGGCGGAGTGCCCAGCAAGGTGTTCGTGCCCGCGTCAAAGGCCAGCCAGTCAGGATAAGGGCTGCCCGGGACGTTGGTAATCTGCAGGTTTGGGGTAGCTTGGCCTAAGCTGTTTGCCATAACCCCCACTTTCGGATACACGGCTACACTTGAACACAAGCACACCCAGCTAGTTGGTTGCATATACTGCATGGCTGAAAGAAGAATTCTCCAGAACACCCAAGCTGCTGCCAAATTGGGCCGGCGGTATCGGATAGCGCAGCATGTGCCCCTTGGTTGCCAGAATCTCGACGACGCTGGGGAGAGGCCCGGAGGTGTCTGGCCTCGCTTGTGCTTGGCTCGGGAGCCTGGGGTAACCTATGCTTCAAAAGACTTCTGTTCGAGATTGGGGGTTTATGTAGGGTCCGTTGGAGAAGCCACGACATGCAAAATGAGATCAACAACGCCCAAGAAACTCGATGGTATCTGGCCAGGATCCGCCTGTGCCTGAGATCGTGGCTCCCGTGGGCGCTCCAGAGCCTCCACCCGTGCCCGGAATCGTCGCCCCTGGTGGCAGCACTCCCGGAACAGTTCCTGAGCCATCACCAACCCCTCCTGTGCCAACACCTCCCGTGCCCGAAATCGTCGCTCCCGGTGGAAGTTTTCCCGGAATAGTTCTGGACCGACCACCAACACCCTTCCCGCCTGGGCCGGAAATCGTCCCTCCTGGAACCACTGACGAACTAGACCCAGACCCATCGCCAACACCGCCACCATCACCGTTTGGCCCGCCCGGACCGGAAATCGTCCCTCCTGGATGCTCGCCCGAGCTGGTTCTGGAGCCACCTGGATGCGCCCGTGAACTGCCGTCGTCGCCTCCGCCACCTCTCTTCGGCACGCTGCGACCGCGACCCGAAATCGTCGCTCCTGGAGGGAGCACTCCCGGAACAGTGCCTGAGCCATCACCAACCCCTCCTGTGCCAACACCTCCCGTGCCCGAAATCGTCGCTCCGGGTGGAAGTACTCCCGGAATAGTGCTGGAGCCACCACCAACACCCTTCCCGCCTGGGCCGGAAATCGTCCCTCCTGGAACCACTGACGAACTAGACCCAGACCCATCGCCAACACCGCCACCATCACCGTTTGGCCCGCCCGGACCGGAAATCGTCCCTCCTGGATGCTCGCCCGAGCTGGTTCTGGAGCCACCTGGATGCGCCCGTGAACTGCCGTCGTCGCCTCCGCCACCTCTCTTCGGCACGCTGCGACCGCGACCCGAAATCGTCGCTCCTGGAGGGAGCACTCCCGGAACAGTGCCTGAGCCATCACCAACCCCTCCTGTGCCAACACCTCCCGTGCCCGAAATCGTCGCTCCGGGTGGAAGTACTCCCGGAATCGTGCTGGAGCCACCACCAACACCCTTCCCGCCTGGGCCCGAAATCGTCCCTCCTGGAAGCACTGACGAACTAGACCCATCGCCACCTGGAACCGTAGCTCCTGGTGGGAGCACTCCTGGGATAGTTCCGGCTCCTGGGAGCACTAACGAACTGGCTCCCGAGCCGCCCGTGCCTGGAATTGTTGCTCCTGGCGGGAGCACTCCTGGGATAGTGCCGGAACCATCACCAACTCCACCTGTGCCTGCAGTCGTCGCTCCTGGTCCTGAGCCGCCTGGACCGGAAATCGTTCCTCCTGGATGCTCGCCCGACCTGGATCTGGAGCCGCGTGGGTGTGCCCGTGAGCTGTCGCCGTCATCTCCGCCAACACCATTCGGCCCGCCGCGGTTCGCCCATGGCGGGAGTACTAAAGAGCTAGACCCATCTGGAATCTTCGCTCCTGGTGGAAGCACTCCCGGAACCGGAATCGTCGCCCCTGGTGGGAGCACTCCCGGAACAGTTCCTGAGCCATCACCGACACCTCCCGTGCCAACACCTCCTGTGCCCGAAATTGTCGCTCCCGGCGGGGGTACTCCCGGAATAGTTCTGGAGCGACCACCAACACCCTTCCCGCCTGGGCCGGAAATCGTCCCTCCTGGAACCACTGACGAACTAGACCCAGACCCATCGCCAACACCGCCACCATCACCGGTTGGCCCGCCCGGACCGGAAATCGTCCCTCCTGGATGCTCGCCCGAGCTGGTTCTGGAGCCACCTGGGTGCGCCCGTGAACTGTCGTCGTCGCCTCCGCCACCTCTCTTCGGCACGCTGCGACCGCGACCCGAAATCGTCGCTCCTGGAGGGAGCACTCCCGGAACAGTGCCTGAGCCATCACCAACCCCTCCTGTGCCAACACCTCCCGTGCCCGAAATCGTCGCTCCGGGTGGAAGTACTCCCGGAATAGTGCTGGAGCCACCACCAACACCCTTCCCGCCTGGGCCCGAAATCGTCCCTCCTGGAAGCATGCCTGGGGTGGCAATTCCGAGCATTTCATTGAGGGTGCCTCCTGGCGTGTTGGGCACTCCAGTGCCTCCTGCAGGCTGGCCTGGAATCGTCTGTGCTCCTCCGGAGCCATCACCAGTAGGATTAGTGGTGCCTGTGCCTGGAATCGTCGGTGCTCCGAAGGGAGTAAGGCCCGGAATCGTCGATGCTCCTGGGGGGGTGTTGGGCACTCCGGTACCTCCGGAGCCGTCGCTTGCAGGCTGACCTGGAGTCGTCTTTGCTCCTGGTGGTCCTCCCTTACCTCCGGAGCCATCACCTGCAAGATCCGCTCCGCCACCAGCACCGTTTGGCCCGCCCGGACCGGAAATCGTCCCTCCTGGCTGCTCGCCCGACCTGGTTCTGGAGCCACCTGGGTGCGCCCGTGAACTGTCGTCGTCGCCTCCGCCACCTCTCTTCGGCACGCTGCGACCGCGACCCGAAATCGTCGCTCCTGGAGGGAGCACTCCCGGAACAGTGCCTCCATCACCAACCCCTCCTGTGCCAACACCTCCCGTGCCCGAAATCGTCGCTCCGGGTGGAAGTACTCCCGGAATAGTGCTGGAGCCACCACCAACACCCTTCCCGCCTGGGCCCGAAATCGTCCCTCCTGGAAGCACGCCTGGGGTGGCAATTCCGAGCATTTCATTGAGGGTGCCTCCTGGCGTGTTGGGCACTCCAGTGCCTCCTGCAGGCTGGCCTGGAATCGTCTGTGCTCCTCCGGAGCCATCACCAGCAGGATTAGTGCCTGGAATCGTCGGTACTCCGAAGGGAGTAAGGCCCGGAATCGTCGATGCTCCTGGGGGGGTGTTGGGCACTCCGGTACCTCCGGAGCCGTCGTTTGCAGGCTGACCTGGAGTCGTCTTTGCTCCTGGAGGTCCTCCCTTACCTCCGGAGCCATCACCGGCAAGATCCGCTCCGCCACCAGCACCGTTCGGCCCGCCTGGACCGGCAATCGTCCCTCCTGGCTGCTCGCCCGAAGTGCCACCCTTAGCTTCTGCGATGTCGGGCTGTGGGATGCTAAAAAACCCAAGCGCGAAAACCTTCGAAGCCCCCCCCCTCTCCCCAGAAAAAAACAACAAAACTTAAAAACTCAACTCCTGAAATCTCTATATACACAAAAACTCAACTCCTAAACCCTAAACCCTAAACCCTGAACCCCAAACCCTAAACCCTTCCTGTAAGCCATGCACCCTGGGGGTGAGCGTGTCGGGTTGATGGTTGAAGCTGGAAACAGAAGGTTTGGACCGTGCGCCTTAAGCGCTTCTATCTCTGAGGCTTCAGGGTTTAAGCCTAAACCCTAAACCCTAAACCCTAAACCCTAAACCCTTAACCCTGAAGCCCTAAACCCTAAACCCTAACCCTAAACCCTAAACCCCAAACCCGAAGCCCTAAACCCTAGAATTTAGAGTTTCGGGGTTCGGGGTTCAGGATGCAGGGTCTATATAATAATGCGTTTCAGAATGAAGGACACTACAGCTGTTGCCGGTGACATTCCAAGCAGTATGGCTCTCTGCTTGGAGGTTCATGGTACTTATTCACCAGTTATAACTGTACCTACGACTGTACTTATAACTGGACTTATAATCATATTAGGGCACTTAAGGGGCTTATAAGTGGGCTATAAGTACAATCATTAATTGGTTCTAATAAGTACCCCTAAACCCTAAACCCTAACCCCTAAACCCTAAACCCTAAACCCTATAAGTACCATGAACCTCCAAGTAGAGCACCTACGGTGTGGCGGAGCCATGCTGATTCACGGGCACGGGAGAGGTGAGATCCAGAGCCTAAACCCTAAACCCTAAACCCTAAACCCTAAACCCTAAACCCTAAACCCTAAACCCTAAACCCTAAACCTCCACCTGTCCAAGATGCACTCCCGCAGTCCGCGAAGTTCCCTTGCCACCCGAGCCTGGCGACAGGGAGGCTAACATCACAGCCCGGAACCTGAGAGTTTAGGGTACGGGGGCAACCGAAAGGGAACAGGAAAAGAAACCAACCCTCAACAGTCGCCTATATGGATTTCCCAGATCGAACCAGAAACAAGAACACCCAACCCTAAGGGGAAAGGATAAGGGAGAAGGGACGGGACTACTCCAACCCGTTAAACCCAACCCCAGGCATACGTACTTTTTCAACAAAAGCTGACGGCTCTCGGCCATCTTGAGCCATACAAGATTTCCGGGTACGTTGACCCTTCCAACACCCAACACTAACTCCTTTCTACAATACCAACTGCAGCTCCGCACTCCCCCTGTCCTAGGATTTCCTAGGACACATTGGAGGTGCAGATCTTTTGGCCAAAAACTGCCATTAGGGCAGCAGCCAGCTGCTTGAAATGCACAATATGGTTTTACGTCATCCAGGACGAAATTATAGCACATTGGCTAAACCCACTAACCACAGAGAATCTTTTTTCCACCATGATCCTCTTTATCATTGAAGACTCTTCGGCCTTCTTCACCACAAACCGTGGTCTTCGCTACGCGAAAAACTACTGACTTCTACTATCAGGGATTTCCATACCCTTAATAGTAACCACCACATTTTCAGCACATTGGCTGTTCCAGCGCACCTGTCTCCAGAAAGAGAAAAACCATCCCTTCATCCATACCATCCAATCACTTCTTTTTCCGATTGTTGGCAATACTGAGGTGAAGTTGCAGCAGAATATACTCTAGGTCCGAAACTGTAAGAACAGGATCCTGCACGCACCTTTGAATTGAGGATACCAATCCTTCTCTCTTTGCGTCCTCAATCGCTTGGCAAGATTGACCCAGCTCTGCATTCACAGTGGTAGACGCTTGCGCATCCACATCAGAGGGACGATCCTTTTCCTCAGGACCTTTCACCACTACCACCTCTTCCTTTTTGGGGCTCTGACTTTTCTCCTTCTTCTTCGTCTTTCCACCGACGTTTGACTTTGTGCGCATTTTCGAGGCTTTTTCCCCTGCAGAAACCACCACATTGGATGATGATCCACCCTTCTCAATGATCGCCGGCATCTTCTTCGGCTTTGGAACCATGAGAGTGTAAGGATCTTCAATAGCTGCAGCTTTCCTCTTCTTTTTGACCTTTTTCACTTCCTCCTCAACGGCAACCTCCGTCTCCGAAGTCTCAACCACTTCTTTTTCGGCAGGAATATCCTTGCTGGACTCCCTTTCTAGGGACCTCTTTTTGCCCCTTTTGGAATCTTTCTCTTCTCCCAGATTGGCTCGCTCGTACCATATCCTCAGGTCATTGACCCATTCTTCCACCTCCGCGAGCGATACATCATACGACTTCACTACTTCGTGAAGTTCCAGCACGGACAGCATACCAGTGGTCCACGAAACCCATTCTCTATCCATCTGGTCAGCATCTCCATTGAACTTCAGGAGCTTGAACAGTGGGTCCGCCTCTGCTCGAGCCAAATCTGACTTGCCATTGGACAGAAATGAAATCGCCTCCATCAACAGTTCCGTCATTTTGGTATCATCGTCATAAACCATAAAATCCTCCTCACCATCATCGAACTGTTCAGGAGAGGTCTCCTTTTCTCCACCTTTTGCACCAGAACTTCTCCTTGGACCATCCCTTGGGGGCGTCCTTGGAGACCTTGGCCTCTGTTCATCCAGCGGATCACCATGCTCAAAGACACACCTGTCACCATAACGACACTTCCCAGACTGAGCAAACTGGATGCACCTCACACCAGTTGCATCATGCGAGAACGCACACTCCTTTCCAGCGAAGCAGGGTCTCCCCGCCACATAGTATTTGCACCAATACGAATGCAGCACCACATCATCTTCTGAATGGATGAATTTGCAGTCTTCACCAAATTTGCAGCGATCTTTTCCCCTGCTGAACCAATAGCAGAAGCCTTCCTTCCTCTTCTCCAAGCGCTCCGCCTCGCACCGGTCCATAGGGCGATTCTGCTCTACATGAACATTGCCATGTACCTGAGAACTGCTCCCTTCACCCAAGGTGCTATCAGTATTTGATGCTTGGAGTACAGCTGGAAAACCTGGCCTTGGTCCTACCACCTTCATGATTGGTTTTCCGCCAGCTCCTGAGCCATGCTGAGACGATCCAAAAACATTGAACATCTTCATGAAGGCCTTTCTAGCGCCGATCTTCTGCACCCTTTTGATTGGACGTTTCATTGCTCCAACCTTGCATCCAGATGCGTTCAAACGACACAACCTCCTATGCCCAGCTCTATATCCCTTCTTCCAAAGAGCCATAAGAATTCTAGAGGCAGTAACATTCTCCACCTCTACCTTTTCCAACGGTCCCTCACTTCCCGGAACAAACCCCTCCAATCCATCCATATCTGAAGACCTTTCCATCTTTTTTGACACCACTTCGTCGAGGTAGTCTTCCGAGATCCAGGGTAAGTTCCTCTTAGAGGAAGGATTGTCACCATTGTTTGGTCCTTCACCAGGATACCCCTTTGTGCTGTCAAAGATCTTACCAGTAGTGCGATCCTGCGTAGAGAAATTGGAAGCAACGCGAGAGTACACTGACCACAAGAAAATCCTTGTGCCAGCCAGTCTTGACGACCCACTGGATGTCTCCTCTTCCGGAGAAACTTCTGGCGCTTTGCCATCCCTTCCAGTGTCACCAATTGTCTCACCTCCAGCATCTTCAATGGGAATAAGGGATTCATTGTTCCCTTGATCAAGTACCGCATCCTCCGGTCCCAGAACTTCCAGCACCGCTGTCGAAGGATCCACTTCTTCATCAGCATCGTCGTCCATCCTTTTCCAGAGAACCTCCACTTGATCGGCACATGTCGCCGCCTGAAGAAACTCCATTAATTGGGCCTTCCCGCGCTGCCAGAGAAATTCCAAATTCACCACTGATCCTTGGCCTCCTAGAGTAAGGAACGGAGCTACCAATTTGGCTACCCTTGCCATAAGTTCGACGTGAACTTCCATGCCTGGACTGCGGTTCCAATCGTAGGCAATTGCCTCCATAGCAGTTCCAAACTTATCAGTATTTCTGAATTCCCCTTCCAGACCAGGAGATAGCAATGCACCCATCACCGAAAGAGGATAATTTCCCACCACCGGCAAGCACGGATTGTCATGGAACGAATGATGCAAATCACCATAGTGTCCTTGATCTCTCCTTTGAAAAAGGAGTGCTCCAGTCCCTAGCTGGGCATTCAATTCATCCACTTGAACCATTTCAGCACATATTCTCTGTGCCTCAGTTGCTATTGCTGGCCAGATGGTACGATCGGTCAGACCGCGACGCATAACCCAATCAGTTGTTGGCGACTGAATCAGCGTTCCTGGATCATACACCATAACCACCATCGCACTATCATCCATTGACTGATCAGCATCGTCCTCCAGTGCCAGGTTCAAATCCTGTTCGCTTGCACCTTCGGATGACATGCTAATAACCAAATTTCGGTCCATCTTATTGGACCCCTTCTGACAGTCCCTTTGCCCCACAGGCAACTTGCCAACAGCAACCTTCCAATAAATCCGAGTCAGAAGGCCTTTAACCAGCAATTGCTGAGGATCCTTCTTCACCGGACGAACATCCAATGTCTTCGCACCATCACCACGGAGTTCATTGCTCCCACCTTCTCCTTCGTTTTGGTCAGTCTCTTCGCCAGAAATTTGCACTGCTCCTTCCAGCGCCGTCTCCTGTCCAGCCACTTCTTGCCCAGGAAGAACTTGAGCGCTTTCAGATACATTCACCTGTCCAGCAACACCTTGCCCAGGTAAAACCTCATCCGTGGAGCCCACCGCCAGCGAACCAACTATAACTGAGCCATCCCTTGCTCTTTTTTGAGACTGTTCAGTTCGACGAGAAGGTTGGGTTGTGGTAGCGAAAAAACTTGAGAAGTCACTTCTTGGCGGGTCTCCCCCCGCGACGCTTTGTCGCGCCCTTCGC